TAGGTGTATATCTCCCCTTAAATAACAAAGTTATTGCAATTATGAAAATAGTTTTAGTCAAATATATATATTAATTCTACATATAAAACTTGTACAATTGTTATGTATCACTATGTTTATCTCTGAATACAGATTGTGAAATATAAATGATCTTCATTATATTACGTAACTTTTAATAAAAAAATAATGAATTTGAACAATTTGTTAGTTCTTGTAAATAACACTTATATAGAAATAATTTTTTCAGTAATACACGAATTGTAACAAAATGCGTGTGAAATTGGCGAAAGCGAAATTATGTATTAAACTTTGACATGAATTAATATTATAAATTTATCAAAAAACCTGAAAACATAGAGCTTAGCTCAAGAGAGTAATATCAAATCGCAAATATTTGTGAAAGAAAAAGTAAGAAAAATGTTAATTTATATTTATTTTGTGTGATTATAACTGTATAATTTATGTTTTTTATTTGTTAATTGTTCGAATTTTATTTTTTTATTATTTAGACTTTTTTATCTTATGATACTTTTAGATTTTTTTTATTTTATCAATTTTTATAATAAAACACTTGATACATACTAATTTGTTGTTTTGTTATTTGTCTTTGGATTAGAATGATCATCTATAGGTACAATTCTACTGTCTAATGACTTTGAAAAGTTTACAAAATTGTCTTATTAAATTATTACCAACGTTTTAATTTAAAAAATATACATATATACATATATCTCGAAGTCATGAATTTTTTAAATGTTAACAAATGTATCTCGATCGAAAAACCATCTCCGAACTGATCAATGAAATTTGATCTAAAGAGTCACCCTATATAAAGATACAGTACAATCGTGAAAGAACGACACCGGAACAAATGGAGATTGTCGGAGGAAAATCAGTTGCTTGAGAAAATACAGTTATTAGCAAAGTTGTGCGTATAACGACGACTAGATTGCGTAAAACGGTTCGCCGTAAAACGCTTCGTTCGCGTTCGAAATCTCGAAATGCAACGGGCACTTAAGGTATGTACCTGCGGTCTGGCGGCGAGGTGCACGAGCCAATACTCCGCCTCGCCTGGGGCCTTAGCGGTACACTTCAATTCATCCTGGCTCGAGCCTAAGAAGTAGCCCCTCTGGAGATTCTTCAGAGCCCATCGCCCGCTGCCTGCAATTTGTCACGATTGCCTTGACTTGAGAGAATCGCGCCGATATACTTTTACCCATTCATTACAAAGTTCCGATTGATGTCAAATGTTTGGAATAATCATCTGACGGGCGGCGCCAAGTCGATAGAAGATAAAAATAAAACTGTTGCCTTTTATACCTCGTTCAGTTCAATTAAAGGATAGAATTTGAATATTTTATATTATATCGATATTTGTAAGTGTATAGATACTGCGATGCAAAAATTATATTATTCTAATATCAAAGCAGCTGAAATTATCGAGATTTCCCTCTCTTTACCTGCCTTCCGTTATATTCGGTTAAATATATTTCTTTTAATGTATCTACTATTTTTTTCGCAAAGAAAATATCTGTTTTGACTTTGAGAATATGAAACTGTAGAGCGCAAAGTGAATTTCTTGTCTCTAATGTCTGTTGTAGATTAATTTTGATTTCGGTTTAACTTACTCTTCATTTTTGTCTAGTTCCAAAAATTAAAAAAAGATAAAGAGTAAGTTCAAGAATCAAGATTAGAGTTAATCTATATTGATGAAAACGGGCGTAACACTCTATCGTTTTATGGAAATTGAACAAGCATGAATCTCAAGCATGTTACATACCATCGGAAGCGAGTTGTATTTGAAAACCGCATCCCGGATCCGACGAGTCCTCGCTCTCGCACGTCACATTACCAAACTGGTCAACCGCTAGATATCGATCCAAATGCGAGCGAAGGAAAACCTGATGCTCGCTGCCCTCCAGAGTCCACAGTTGCTTTTTCTTCAGGCTCGACCCGTTAGCGTTGATTTTAAAACCGAACGTCTCCGCCGTTAGATACTTAAACTTCCCGTTGATCAATCCAACCTGGAAAAGACCGTCGCATCAATTACTACATAATTTATTTTTACTTTACTTTTTTAATAGATATTGATAAAACATTTGTCATGTTTGCCGAATAATTAAAAGTAACTCAAATAAGAAGAATAATAATGTTCAACAAAAAATAATCTTTTTTGAGCAAGAATAATTGTTTTCCGTAGTTCTTTTGGCGCTTAATACGATCCCAAAATGCTCTATATCATATCATTATTTTAAGAAATTTGTGATTAAAATTGCAAAAAAGTGTTACTATTTTTGTGTATTTTGGTATATTCTATTATACCTATGATATATGATGTGTTGGAGAAATTTTATTTCAAAGTATATTGTTAAATCTTTCAGCCCGTAAAAGAAATTTGTGTTATGATTAAAAATTTATAACTAAAATAAGGAGTCAAAGGGTTGTATATAGACTTATATATAGACATTAAAGATTTACCAAATATTTTTAAATTATATATTATTCAAGAGTTTATTAAATCACTGAATATTAATCTGATGTCAAAGTTAATAAATTCAATTTAAATTGTGGAAAATTATGCAAATAAATAAAATTGATTTATTTAAAAAATTCGAACATTTTTTAAATGTTGACATCAGCCATTATTAATTCAATTATTTTGGATTTATCATGTAACTTGATAAATTTATCATAACAACTAAATAGTCAAAGTTAATAAATTTAATTTAAATTGTGGAAAATTATGCAAATAAATAAAATTGATTTATTTAAAAAATTTGAACATTTTTTAAATGTTGACATCAGCCATTAATTCTATTATTTTGGATTTATCATGTAACTTAATAAATTTATCATAACAACTAAATAAATTTATCAACTTTGATAAATCATATTATTGTAGTATTCGCGAAGTATTTCCGAAAATCCGTAAATTTGAATAATATAATTTAAAAATATTTAATAGATCCTTAAAATGTAAATTGTAACTTTGATGCAATAAATCCTATATTAATTCTTAGTTTTTTTATTACCTAATTACAATAAAAATCCCTAATTAAAAATCTTAATTAATACCAAATTAAAAGTCATTATTATTAATTACATATTGTATATTATTAGTTTTATTAATTTATTGTAATAGTATTTGAGATCATTATATAGATTTAATATCAATATTTTCTAAAAATTTAAAAATTAAAAAAAATAGATACGGATTCTCAATCAGTATAAAGAAAAGTACTACGACTGTTTTATTTTATCGCTACTGGGATATAAAAATCACTCTAGATTTAATAACTATTCCCGATATGTAACTATTTTATCATAAATATTTTTTTAATTATAAACACAACAAATTTCTTTTAAGAACTGAAAATTCTAACAATGTATTTAAATTTGATTGCAATAAAACTTCTCCAATGCGTTACATATCTCTCACGTATAATACCTATACCTACTAAAAATATCAAAATACGTTTATAATATGGCAACTTTCTTCCAACTTCAACCAAAAATTTTTCAAAATCGTGATGCTAATAAAATAATTAATTATTAGTAAAAATGTAGAACATTTTGGTATCGTTTTTAATGCATAAAAAACTATGAGAAACGGTTATCTTCCTTCTTGTGCACTTTTTGATTGATTATTTGTAATTCAATTGCGATTAGATCTGTGAGGTAATTTTATGCAAAAGAGATGAGGAAGTGTAGATTGAATATAAGTGATTTAAATCTCCGACTGATGCCGTTATGTCGACGTCCTCGTAGCCTCATTTAATGCAAACTGCAGTTTATATTAAACTAATTTGCTTATTCAATCAATCGGTACGTACCGTCCATCCTGATTTGTCGACTCCATTCTCGGATCCCACATTCTCCGAACCGTTGCTCTGCATCGTACTGCCGTAGCTAGACGAACTCGGTTACTTTCGTTACTGAAAGGTATCCCAAGTAGCTTCTCAACGTCTGAAACAAATATGTACGTCAATTAAATAACGTTCTTCGTTTCATCGATGTCATTATCTCGAGTGTCATAAGTACACGGAAATAATGATTTTGCTGAAAGATCTAAAATTTAGCATGGATACAAAAAACAATTTTGTTGGTCCATTAAGATAATTGTATTGGAAACTCAAATTAATTGTTAAAGTATCAAAATTTTTTGCGGCATTGCTCATCACGCTCGAGTTTCTATAGCACAATTATTTTGATGGTCCAACAAAACTATTTTCACATTTGTATCCAACTAAATTTTGGATTTTTCAACAAAATCATTCTTTCCGTGTAATAAAAAAAAAACAAATTTTCGAACGCGACCGTGGTGATAGGGGAAACCGGGGACAAAAATAACAAGGTACAGTTGTAACATCGTGAATATTTTTAAAACTATAATAGATATATGTATGTGGCGGTGAGGCAAAAATCATTAGACAGACCGACGTTGGTTTGTTACTTCCTTGTTGGTCCACATGAAACATGCAGATGTGCAGAAGTAAAAAATACTTTCTTCATTCGTCAAGTTTTATTATGTGCACAAAATCTAAAGTATTTTTGTTTTTTTATGGTGAAGTTATAACGTATTATCTAAAAATGTTTTAGTGATTATTTATGTTGATTTGCATATTTTAATTGATTTCATTTATATATTTATTTTAAAACTTTACTTCGAATTATAAAATATCATTAGGGGACAATTGTAACATCAATGCCTGGAGACGGTTGTAGCGTTACAATTGTCTCCGGATTTGCTTAGTTTTATTTGAGTATTTTTTTCACAATATTATTTGAACTTATTGGAAAGAAAGAGAAAAAGCTCTTTTCCGATTTTATATAGATTTTGTCCTTTTTATTTTATTATAGTTAATTTTATTAAATA